CAATTAGCCATTTCAATCAGCCTATGGGCCCGGGCAACAAAGCAAATCAGGCTGCAGTTGCTCCGGGTTTACAGGTCGGCTCTTTGGGGACACACCACAGTTGGTCCAAAGAGCCGAGCCCAAACACCTGGGTGCAGGTCCCTGCCTCTGCTTCCTCCTGGAGAGCCCGGGATCCCCACTCCCACACCTGGCTACAGGTCCGAATTGCAGAGGCTCCCTCGGACTGCTGCACCACCTCGCTTTTAGCCCCTCTCACCCAAGTCCTCCCTTGCTCAGCCCAACCAAAACCATATTTAGGCACTGAAAAAGAAGTCACCTTTGACTTCTTCCAAGGAACTGGTTGCCTGCAGCTGCTGTCAATGCTGGTGGGAGAGAGACCGAGTTGCTGGTTCTCAGCCCGAAATTCCTATACTAATGCTGCGGTCAGTGCCTGGCAGGGCTAATAATGCCACCAGCAGACAGCAGAGCAAAAGCCAGTTTTGGCCTGGGTTGAACACGTTTCTGCTCCTCTCCTGACCACTGCTGTGACCCGAGTCTCTCCTGGCTGAAGCCGACAGTTCATCCACAATGAGCATGGGGTTGGGAGGGCCGTCCGTCCACCCCCCTGCACGTGATGCACTATCCCCCAATCACCCCAGACCGCAGCCGATCCAGCTTTTCCCCACAAAAAACCTCCACGGAGGGAAATACAACCAGGTCACCGGGCAGCTCATCACACTGTCCTACGGCTCTCACAGGTCCTGTTTCTCCTGGAGTTTGGTCTAAATCAGCTTTGCTGCAGCTTGAGCCCATTGCCCCAGCTCCTGTCCCCTGCAGCAAGGCACAGCGACGTTACTCCGTCTTCTTTCTACTACTGGAAAACTCCTATCATGTCCCCACTGCTTCAATCTCCCTCCCTTCAAATTAAACAGACCTGGGGCCTTCAACTTTCCCCGCAAAGGCTGACCTTTGTCACCATCGTGCTTTCCCCTCCAGTTTCCTTGCGTACCGATTGCAAGCTCCTCACTACAGACTCTCATTCCCAGTGAAAAGGGAGTTGAGAAAACATTCGTTCAGCCTGAGGGCTACAGTTCAAAGGTAGAGAAGCAGAACAGGAACCCTGTGCCGCGAGGCTCTGACAGCTCTCCAATAAGTGCGATTGGAAAGCATTTCCATAGGTGGGTTTATTACTGGAAACACGAAAGAGATGGGAAAGCCACGAGACGTTTCCCTGGTTGGGTGCTAGGACGGCCTGCGGACGTGCTCAGGCTCCGCTATGGAGCTCGGAGGCGATTCTCTTCGCAAGGCTCGATGATTCTTTCGGGGCAGTCTGGTGTGCGTCGGCATCCTGCCTACCAGCATATTTATCTAGCTCAGCGTCTTGGGTTGTTTTTTTTCCCCTCAAACCCAGTGTGGTTAGAATAACAATCAGAAACAGACACCTCTCCCTTTTCCCTGCTTCCCTGAACAGCCCCTATTATGCTTCGAGACAAAAAAGCATCGCGCAGCGAAAACTGGGCCATCCGCCTGAAAGGCTTGTTGATTGCTGCTTCTGCAAAGAGAGAGAACATTAGAGCTGTTTGCTGACAGCAGGTGCTGCTTGGAGCCCTTCCAAAAGGGTCCCTGCTTGAAGGAGGCATATTCGGCGCGCCGGCACGGCTGGTACGGGCCGGCGGACGGAGCATTAAAGCCGGACCTCAAATGGTTCTGCAAACCCTTCAGGTCACGGGTTGCTTCTCATGTGGGCAGGTGATGTCTTACACAATAAAGGCTATTCCAGCTGGGCTTTTAGACACCAGCGCAATACAGATATCTGCATTTGGGGCTGCTTTCTCCACTCGCTCTTCTCCCTTCACAGACAAAACTTCCCCAAGGCAGGAAGCTAGGGAAACTGAGGCACGGAGACTTAAAGCCAGTCAAACCCTGGCCTTGGCATCGTGGTCCCTAGCCCCATGCCCTCTCCATCTCTCTCATTAAAGGAAGTAAGAAGCAGCGATGGGCGCTGGCAGTGTGTTTGTTGTATAAAGAAGTTGGCTCGTAGAAGAACGTGGGATTCCTGGATGAGGAGCGACGGGCCCACGTTAGCAAGAGAAGAGGGACGCTGCAACGAACTTCTTCACCTGGGAAAGTCAACGCCCCACGGACAATGGGATGGGGAGGTGCTAGCCAAGACCAAGGCTAGCCTGGATCCCAAGGTACCTTCATTCACCTGCAACCATCCAGCCCAGAGGAGCCATCGCCATGCCGCTGGGTCTCCCTGCTCCCGCGACAGCGGCTTTCACAGTTCGCTTGCAAGGCCGTCGCCCGCTGCGCTCGATGCAAACACAACCCAGAGTCTCTCACACTCCACATTTCCTTATTAGTTGACGGCGAACATTTTAAAAGGCTCTCAAGTCAGAAACAGTTAAAGCTAAAAATCCAACGGATTAGATTTTTTCCCTTTGTGACGAACTTAATGACTTAAACTGTTCAGCATCATTAGCCAATTTGTCTCCGAGGATTTCAAAACCCCTACAAAGCTCCATTGTTGAGCAAATGCTTTCGTATGTATCATTAATAATCATACCCGTCCTCTTTGAACAGCCGGCAAGTGAGCAAGCGAGAGAGACAAATTCCTCCTCTCTCCATCAGCGGGAAAAAAATGATCACAGGCACCAAATCAAGAAGTCATTCGAAGTTTAGAGTACCCGTTGCTATACACCAAAGCAGAGTGTCCGGCACATCAAAGCACTGCCCTCTTCACATGAAGAACAGCCCATTAAAAAATCCTTATTTTCATCTCGTCTCAGCAAAAACGCTTGTGTGTTAACAGCCCACCTCCCCCAAATTCCCACAGGCCTCTGGTCCATTAGCATCTTCATTGTGAAAGTGCATTGCTTTTTTTCTTGGATCTTCTTTTCAAGCCAATCTGCAGGAGGGGTGCAGGGCGGGAATCAAAGACAGGATAGATTTAAAGCGAGCAAACAGTAGCTGGAGGTGCTTGAGCAGCAGTCAGCAAAGCACTTGGTGGGAGA